GGACTACATCGAGAAACACTGCCCCAGCGCCGTGGTCCCCGTGGAGCTGCAGAAGCTGGCTCGAGGGAGCCTGGTGGGCGGCGGCCGGCAGCGGCCCCCGCAGACGCCGCTGCGCCTCCTCATCGACGCCGACAACTGCCTGCACCGCCTCTACGGCGGCTTCTACACGGACTGGGTGAGCGGCGGCCAGTGGAACCACATGCTCGGCTACCTGGCGGCGTTGGCCAAAGCTTGCTTCAACGGCAACATCGAGCTGTTCGTCTTTTTCAACGGCGCCCTGGAGAAGGCCCGGCTGCACGAGTGGGTCAAGCGGCAGGGCAACGAGCGCCAGACGGCGCAGCAGATCGTCAGCCATGTCCAGAACAAGGGCACGCCGCCGCCCAAGGTCTGGTTCCTGCCGCCCGTCTGCATGGCCCACTGCATCCGCCTGGCCCTCATCCGCTTCCACATCAAGGTAAGGCCCGGCCCTGCCTCCTGCTCGCGCGGCCGCCCGCCGACCTGGCCGGCCGCCCCGGGGCCCTGCCCAGGCGCTCAAAATGTCGCCGGGCTTTCTTTGACTGTGCGGGGGGCGGGGGACCGCCCGGCGAGTTCGCGAACTCACTTCCCTTTTTGAACTCGCGCAAGTGGGGCCCGGAGCTTGCCGAGAAAAGTTTTGCTAGGCCCGGACTCGGCAAGAGCAGGCGCTGGAAGGCCGGGCTCGGCCCCAAGATGGATGAACAGCGCTCGTGGTTTTTCCGAGCCCCCTCGGCGCCTCGGGCCTGTGCACTTCCCAACTTGGCCGTGCACTTGACAGGCCAGCCCCGTTCAGCTCTTCCAGCGTGGTGGCTGAGATGCTAGGTTTTGGGGCTTTGGACGGAGTGGTCCTTTTTGGTATCAGCAGGATTTTTTTTTGAAAACACTTCAGGATTAATTTGTAGCAGTCCTAGATCAAAATGTGCAGAGGGCACTGCCGTCATCTCTCACTGACTTGATATGGTCCCTGCTTTTTGAGGCGGGCAGGCATTAATCTTTACGTTTAATGCGTATTTCGAATTTAGCGCGGGTGCACACATACACAGCACACACACACTACCCCCACCCCCGCACCGCACGTACACACACCAGCTTTATTATTGAAGCAAATAGAGCCCATTAAAATAGTAAAGGTGACTCCTCCTAGGACGGTGTGGAGAAGCTGAATCGAAACGCTAGCGCGGCTGCCGCCTTACTTTCCTTCATGGGTGACGTAAAACTTGGAGAAGGTTAATGAGTCGTTCTTTAGAACGTGGTGTTGTGTAGATATTCCATTTAAAATGGAATGTGTAGAGACATTTTCTGCGATTTTGTGTTAGATTTTAAGGTATTGTTGTTTGACATGTTGATGAAATTTTGGCAATTCTGTGGGAAAAGGGCTTTAAAAAGTATTCCAGTTTTGTACATCTCATGGGAAAGTTTAAAATCGGGCTAAGATATAATGTGAATCTGGAGACGCTTTTAGAATATGAAATACAGGCCTAAATTGACAGGATTTGTTTTTCTTGTGCATGGTAAATATTCAGTGACCTTCAGTTGTGATCATAAACATAGTATAAAATTACCAGGTATTCTGTTTTTTGGTGGGGGCAAGGGAGAGTTTTTGGAACCAAGAGTGGTTGTACAGATGATAAACAATTGATCTCTTAACTTCACGTTTTGATGGCTTTCTTTTTAATTTCTATTTGTGTTTGTGTGCACGTGTATGGGGAGGAAGGGACCTTTTTTTTTAAAGCTCATGCTGTTCTCCCAATTTATCACGAATCTATTTCGGCCTGAAACTGATTGATCTAGAAGTTTAAAAATTTCACTCTACTGATGAGATAGTGTGGTAGTTAAGCCTAACACGATAGCGGAAGTCCCACCCATGATTCTGTTGCAATTGGTGAAAATGGTTTCTAAGTCTGGATTCAGGCATCTGGAAGTGTAGTGATTGGTCTGTGAGCATGGCAAATAAAGGATGTATTTTGAGAAGTTCAGATAAGAGGAAGTGTTGTCTGCATGTGCTTATACTTTCTTAATTTGATTTAGGGACTTTATCAGACGCAAGGTAATGTTCTTTGTCAGAAGTAATAGACTTCCATAGAACGTTATGAAAGTGTTAGTTTTATCTTATTCAGAGAGAAAATCCTGCTTAAAAGGCTTGGAGAACTTAATTTTACTTTTGTAACATTATATGTGTATTTTTAACTAGTCATATTACTTATAATTTGAGTTAGTATGTAGTTACTTTATCTTTTTTTAAAAATTATTTTATTGGAGGCTACTTTATCTTAAAGAACTGTTGACTTATTTTTAATTGGAAGATTGCTTAATTTACCTTTGCCTTTATTTGAATGTCTTGCATGCTTTGGAAACTAAATTTAAGATAATCTCTTCAATCTAGGTTTCTGGACACAGATACTTTTATCTGTTATTGTTTTGCTTGATAAGTTTATAGCTTGTATAGAATCTTAGTATAGTGTGCACACACTTGCCACCCTCATCTTTTTGAAGGAGCCTAATAACGTATTAGAAAGGTCTCAGTCAAATGAGGTACCAGATATAATGACTTAAGAAAAAAATAAAAACAAAAATTCCTCTTAAAAAAGTATGTTACAGATATAATGACATTTTGCAGTTTTAACTACAGTTCAGTGGCACCAATGTGCAAATTTCACCACTATTTGTTTCTGGGATGTTCAGCCATCATCTGGTAGAGAAACTATAACCATTAAGCATTAACTTCCCATGC